TTCTAGTACAGTTTSTAATTGTAATTTTTATTCATGTCTTTTTATCTACCAACAGTTCAGTGGGAAAAGATGGCAAAGGTAAAGTCRGATCATYAATTATAATAGACTGCATCCRATATTACAAACTTCAATTACAACACCATCTTTGCTTTCTTATTGATCTGCATCATAATTGTTCATCATTATTTATTGCCATAATGACCAATACCGTGATAATCACAATTACAACCACAATCATTGCTATCAACAACTTCATTGTTGTTATCCACCTATCATACCACTTCTGTTTCATCACTATATCATCACATTGCCACACCATATGACCTCAATCGCTTTACAACATTGTCGTCATCATCATAGTGTACATGATGCTCGTCATAATATTGTTTTTATGCTGTTGTTACCAGGTATTAAACTCAGCAGGATTATCATTAGTTGCCATAGATACCAACCTGGTAGACATGATATGGCAAAAACATGACCGACCCTCCCCTCCCTCAGATGGAGTAATTGTCCTTGGTATAGAATACACAGGTAATCATGGTAATACTGCTGAATCTCTTGAGTTAGTTTGACCTGACAAGATGTGTTTCTCAGGTAAAACATGGCAGCAAAAGATCAAAGAAGTACGCTTGGATCTCGCCAAGAAAAAGGCGTACGCCTTTGTGACTACAGCGCTGGATGATGTGGCTTGTAAGTGCAGATAAGTTAAATGACATTAGTGGTCGTCCAANGCATTTTGAATAGCCAATCAGAAAGTGGCTGATTCCAGCCAACGCCAGGGTCATCTCCCCGACGACCGCCATCTTGAAAAGGAGTCGGCCGAGATGGCCCTGGGGACGAGGTTGCGCTTAACCTATGTTCATCATTTAGGAATGTTTTACAAGAGTTTTTAAAGGTCACGTGGCCTTGGCGTCAGCGGTATTCCCCAACAAGACGACAGGTCACAGGATGGATATCCTAAGTCGTAAGGCATTATGGGATGTTGGGCTAGACTTTCAGCATGGTACAGGACAYGGTGTCGGGGCGTTCCTGAATGTGCACGAAGGTAAAWTAGAGTCAATTTYGTATGAGTGGTCCAACGTGTGAACTRATGAATTGTGAATTGTCATATTTACTCAATTCAGGTCCACAGAGAATAAGCTTCCGTGCAAGAGAAGACGAAGTACCATTCGAAGAAGGAATGAACATTACAATAGGTGAAAGACCAGGGGCGGGTTTTTAAAATTACGATTGTTAAAATGTCGGGTTGTTGAAAAACCGGGTAAGAGGCCGGTTCGTTAAAAGGCCGGGTAGTTCAAATGCCGGGTTAAAACAACCCGGTCTCCTTTTCTTAGTTTAAGTCAAAATGCCAACTCAATGCAATATTCTGTTCTTGTACTCAGAACCTGGGTATTATGAAGAAGGCAAGTTTGGAATTCGTATCGAAAATGTCTATAATGTCAAGAAAGTTGAGTTAGAGGTGAGAGAAAAATGTTTTCCAAAGACACGTCCATTTACTGCCTTCTCTCTTTTTTAACCATTCTCTTCTCTGCTATCTTGTTCACAGCACAACTTTCTTGGAAAAGGTTTCCTAGGATTTGAACCATTCACACTGGTGAGTAACGACCAACCCGGGGTCTCCTTATTAAATATCGGAGTGTCTGAAAGTCGAGAGGTGACGAGAATTGTCCATTTTTTCAGTTCCCAATACAAACCAAGATGCTGATACCATCCATGTTAACACAAGAAGAGGTAGGGATGCCCTTATTTCATTTTTTTTTCATCTTGTTTTTTGGAGTAAAACGATAGTTTACTTTATGTTGGTCTTATAGATCGATTGGCTGAACAACTACCACGAACTTTGTGCAGAAAAAGTTGGATCTGCACTTCGAGAGCAGGGCAAACACGAAGCACTCAGTTGGCTGTTGAAAGAAACAAGTACGCTAGGATGAAAACACCCTTCGCCTGCCCCCTACTTTTCCCTACTGGGGGTTAGCAATAACTTTAGACTTCCTTGAGAATAATTTAAATCTGTAGCATTGAAAAATGAACAATAATCATATTTTTTATCATGAAAAGATTTTCAGCTCTATTGAAGTGTGCGTGATTTTTTGATAACCCCTGATGACCTGTTTTCTTTGGGGTTTTATGAGTTTTTAGGAGACCTTGGTCTAAGCTTTTTGGGTCAGCTCATGTGAAAACCCTAAGAGGGTTTTAGTGGAGGGCTGGACCATTTGAAATGTCTTAATGAAAAAATAATTTGAATCAATTTATTAAGAATATATGTAAGAAAAGGCGATTTTGATTATGTTTTATCAGAAATAAACGAATAAACTTCACATTCATCCCAAAAAGATTTAAGTGGAATTACTAGAAAATAACAGACAAAATTGTTGTGCTTATAATTTGTTTTTAATGTACTTTGTACATACAGTATTTTGTCACATAACGTAACTACGATAACTTCCATACTACAAGTATAATAAATATTCAATTATAAATAAAATTGATAATATATTTATACTCATGTCAAAAGATGGCTAAATGCATGCACTATATAATAGTCAATTATCCTTAGTCGAAATATTCGAGAAAACAATTTTTTATCATAGAATATATGATTTGGCAGTTTGGTCTTCCTTGTCGAAGATTTGTCCACACAAGGGTTGTGTTATAATTTATTTGTGCTTATATTATAGAGACCTCCATAAAAGTGCATTCGTTATATAACTCCATCCGTTAAGATGCCCGTGTCTCGGAGGTCTCCTGACATTATATTTATATTATTAAGTGGATATTACAATAATTTCCTCATGCTCTGAAGTGTGATAATAATTTAGTACCCAGGTTACAAACACGGCAGAGGTTTACTCTGACCTACTGCAGGTTGGACACTAGCAACAGGGCATGTTTTCCGCAGTTTCTTGAAGTCAACGCCCATAGCTCTAAGCTCTCCATGGAGATCGGACAGCACTTTGAACAAGTGTTTGGCGACCTGTTGACTAGTGCGTTTAGTCGCGGTATGTGTTGGTCCTGTCATCGTACAAACGCTTTGTTGTGCAGATCCACACTGTAACGAGAAGGAGAGGAATCATTAAAGGGTTAAACTTGAACCGACTCTCTTGCAGTACAGGAAGCCGAGCAGCTGTAAAAGATGAGTTGACTCACGAAAAGTTATTTTTGGTAACCTAATAATTGACTTAGAA